CAGAATATATCAACCGAATATATCTCAATACATCTATGACCGAATTCTAACAAGACAGGAAAACGTTTTAATTTAACTTTTTACTTGAGTCGTGATCAAACCATCACAGAAAATCACAAAACTGAAGCATCACATCTTCAATCTCTTTCTCCACGTCTCCTCTCTCAATCTTCTTTAAATTTGACGTCATTTCATCTTTTCTAAGTCGCTTGGTACTTGTGTTTCGCATCTTCTACATGCTTATTGAGCTCCAAATTTTCATTTTCAAATCAGAAATTTGATCTTTTACCTCATGTTCTCTTTTCCTAACCAAATCTAACTTTGTCTCCTCCGATTTTTTTCTCTCCATCGTCATCACTAGCTGATAATAGTTTTCCGACCACTCACTTAACAGTGACTTAGGGTAGAGCCCAAACCGAGTTTCCGACCTTGCTAACAGAATCATGGAGTTCCAGTTTGAGAAAACCCTCAATTAACGAGAATATTGTTGCGGCACACATTAGTTTCTTGCTAGTGTCTCATCTTTTTAGACTATTGTCTGGGTTGACTTATTTTCATGTAAATATCGGTAATTTGTGAAACAACATTAAACACGTCAAAGAAAACCAAATTAGTAATCAGTAAACTCACGGGTACAAATTCTTGTGAGGACGTCGAGAGAGGTTCTCTTTCTCCATTCACCGGACCCATACTAAAATTTCCAATCACCGAATCCATACAAAAATCGAAATTACCCAAATCTAAATCAGAATATAAATTCACCGAAGGTAAGTTAATCTCCATTGTTAAATTCTCCATGAAATTTGAAGAGAAAAACTACGAAGAGGGAGAAAAACTATGAGAGATAAAGTGTCTATTTTTCAACGAGATAAAGTTACACTGGTTTTCCTATAACTATAACTAAACCAACCGTAATTGAGATTACAATTCTGATAAATTCCATTGTTGTTTTTCGTGAGAAAAAGTTAGAAATTGAAAAATCAAATTGAGATGGTTTTTTTTTGCTTAAAAAAAAAAAGGTTTCCTATAGGATAAGATAAAACAAACCAAATATATGTAAAATAAAAAAGCAATATTATTACATAATCTTAGAAAAATGAAATAAAAATATTAAAGAATAATGTATAATATATTTTTTAAATTCGATTAAGGTTGGATTAATTATTGGTCATAGGAAAACCAGTGTAACCTTCACTATATCTATATAAGCAAAAAATCTTTATCTTGTTGAAGATCATACACTCTCTCTCATCGTTTCTCTCCTTCTTCATAGTTTCTCTCTCTTCAAACTCCAAGGAGAATTCAACAATGGAGATTAACTTGCTTTCGGATAATTTATATTCTGATTTAAATTTGGGTAGTTTCGATTTTTATATGGATTTGGTGATTGAAAATTTTAGTTTGGGTTCGGTGAATGGAGAAAGGAAATCTCTCTCGGCGTCATCACAAGAATTTGTACCTGTGAGTTTAATAATTACTAATTTGGGTTTCTTTCACATGTTTAATGTTGTTTCATAAATGACTGATGTTTACATGAAAATAGGTCAATCCAGACAATAGTCTAAAAAAAAAGAGATAAGACACTAGCAAGAAACTCATGTGTGACGCAGCAATGTTTCTCGTTAATTAAGGGTTTTTTAAAACTGGAACTCCATGATTTTGTTAGCAAGGTTACTAGCTTACGTGAATCTATTGCCACGATCGAGAAGCTCGGTTTTGGCGTTAAGTCACTGTTAAAAGAATGGTCGAAAAACCATTACTACCTAGTGATGTCGATGGAGAAAAAAAAATCAGAGGAGACGATACAGTTGTAACCATAAGTAAAGCCTTTAGATCCTCCGGTGAAATCCAGCTCGTAGCAATTCTCGTTCACCGTCAGAACCCTAACCGTCCGATTCTCCACCGGAACAACACCGTCGGTGCCGGAGCTGTTCTGTTCCTGAGATTCCAGCTTCGGATCAACAGTACCGTA